GGATCCCTTCATTCTCTTGTAGATCCGTTCCTTATCTTTCTGGTTGACCGATTTCACTCGGTTCCAGTCCTTGTTTGCATTTCACTCCAGGCGCTATTTCTCAAGGGCCTAGAAGCATGACAACTACTATGGCAGACGACTTCGGACCAGGTGAGTTCTACATGGTCTCCTTGAAAACAAGACCAAGTTGCAACAACGAAGTCAACCCACTTCTAATATATAAAGAGAAATTAACACTTTCTTCTCTAGTTCTTCAGCTTAGAGAATATTCAGACCCTCTTTTTAGATAAAGCTGTTAGCAGGTTTTTTGCTCATTTGGTAAGGTAATTGCGGGAGAGACCTGCCTACCCATTCACAAGAGACTACACGAACACAAACCCTCTTGTAAAGGTATGTGGGTCCAAAAGTCTGAGCTTTCTAAACACATTTTGCGGATTACTGGGACTTCACATCAAAGCGTAAGATTAGGGAGCCAATAGAAACTAACAAATCAGCCAACTTCCTGAATAGAAGAAACGAGTGTAGAAAACTAAGAATGAACTTTTTGTGGCTGTTGGATAGACTTAAGGAAAGGGAGAGAGAGGGAGTACGGTAAGAGCCACTGAGCAAGAGAAAGAGGCTGGATTATCCTCGAGTCTAGCTAGGACTATCACACTTTCCATGACATGACCACTACATACACACAATAGACAATAGCACAAGCCCAAACATGATTCAGCATTAGGCGATGGTACGCTAATTGTCGTGTGATTAAACAACTGCCACCGAATGCATTTCCGGTTCGGTAAGTTAATTCCACTCATTCGCAAGCATGTAGAGTAAAGTCGAAGTAGTCAACCAAATCAGAGGAGGCGTCATTAAGATCGCGATGTCGGGTGTAGAAAAAAGCGACTAGAGTTGCAGCCGGCCACCTTTTCTCTGGGTTTAGCATGTTTATGATATATTTCGTGAAGTATCGAATCTTGCTTTGATAATGTCGGTCACGGTGGTACAGACGAAAGCTTTGCAGTTTTATCGAGGTCGCAGAACGGTGAACCGAAGACTTCTTCGCACAATTAAACAGTCTTCCCTACGCGACAGTCCTCGTATGGTTTCAGGTGAGACCACATCGCGAATCTCTTCCAACCAACTATCCCGTCGAAATGGAGAGTAATGCCAAAATATCTCCAACTCCATCTACCCCTTTACATTACTCCCTCTTCCCCCCTCCTCCTTCACCCTTTTTCTCCCTCTCTTCGTATTTTTCTGTTTGTAGAAAACCGCTGAGCCTAGACCGACCCAGTCTACACAGACGATCGTGGAAAACGGCACCCAGACGCCCCGTTCCATTGCAGGCACAACGAATGGTGTCACTAGCCCCAGCAAAAGAGGAACCGGCGGTGGTGATGACTGCCTCTGCAGTGGAGACACAGACGTGGTTGCTAAGGCGCTTGATGATACCGACGGCGACCGTTGTCCCACGCATGCCGGGTCTCGACAGAGTCGTCCGCACCTGCCGTCACGGTCGCTCAGGCCAACAGACGTCGGCGCTGGCTCAGGGCAGGTTGGAGTATGGCGGCATTCTGGTGCTGGCCGACATCGCAGAACTGTCAGTCTTGCCTGGCATCGAAACAGTGGCGGAAACAGAGGCATAGCCAGAACGCTGTGGCCTTACGGTGAATATGAGGTGAGACTTTTCCATCTTGCCAGCGTTCGGTTAAGCATAGCTCAGCAAAGGGACAGGCCCGGCTGCCGGGCAACCGGTTTGACGAAGTGTGGCAATCAAATAAGTCTCATCTTAGGCTTTTTCCATTCATTCTTCATGTCCGTTTGCAACCCAAGTTTGCGGCTTCTTTCTCTCCAGACTCCCTTTTTGCATTGAGTCCACAGCCATCTTCCAAATGAATAGGCCCAGGCGAAATGGAAAGTTGAATTCAGCTGTGATGAATTAGCCTTTTAAAGAGGCAATACGGAGTGAAATTCCTCTAATCTTTCTGATAATTCGACTGTGGGAAATTCAAACCTCAATTCCTGTATCACTTTCAGCAACCCTGAGACTGACTGAGCTCCGGGTTGAACGACCCTTCGCCATTAGAGAGGTTGTAATTAAGCTACATCCGTAGTCAACCTAGTTTGCATAAGGTGATGAAGGACCCCGGGTGAGAATGCCCCTCTGAAAGCAAATCAAAGTTAAATTCAATCTAAGTGTAATACTCAGCTTATGCCAACTTGGGTAACCGGATATATTGTCCAAGACATACTGAACGTTTTGAAATCCACTTTACACAAAGATAAACCCTGTCAACACCTCCGACAGGACTCGAACAAGAGTCTTTTGCGTATCTTAGCCACATGTTATCACTATGTTACGCAACCACGGGTGTAACTGGGTCAAAGGGGCAAGGTGAACTACAAGACGAGCCAGACATCTCACATATCACCTTTTTATGTCAGGAGTGTCGATTGATCAAGTTTCCATTTTTCATTTCGATCGACTGCATTACTTGTATCCATGATAGGTATATGTTGAGTTTGTCAGGAGATCTGGAATAAATATAGTCATCTTCGGTCGAGCAAGGTGATGCAAGACTGATGGCTGAATTTCCCATAGTGACAGCATGAAGCCCACTCATCAGATTATGAGAAATCTAAGCCATCATTTCCTCATTATCCTCTTCAAATTATCATGAGTTTGTAGGTGAATGGCCAACATCAGGCCAACTAATTCGTTATGCTTTATTCTCTTGTCTGTCTCGCCAACTGTTTAGCCTTATTTTCCAACTGCATCCTTTTTCCAACGTATAGGATATTGTCCAAATTAGCCCACTTTCGACAGTCCCAATTACCTAATTTTCTGCCTTCATACTCCTTTGGTTTATTGTGTGGTCAGTGTGGCTAAACTCTCCTGTTGGAAGGAACTCTTGAATTGCTCGCACCAAAGACTGAATGAGGATTGCCTCGGAAAATGGAAGACCGTTGAATTGAGCAAAGAAGTTCTTGTCTCGTCCTACGACCACAAAGAATGCATGCTAGGCATTCTTTAGTCAAATAAATGGCATCGTCAGAGCAAAGAAGCATATTGAATATAT